CAGATTCTTTCAGATTCTGAAAAGAGAGCACACTATGATAGATATTTGCTATCTCGGAGGAGAATGGTAATGACGAAAAATTCGAGACAAGGGTATATGGTTTACAGGTATAAAACAAGATTGACATTGAGTCAAGAGATGGAAGTAGTTGAATGGCTTAAATGGTATAGAGAAGCAATACATGATATAGTACTAGAGAAGAGAGTAGCAAGCGGTAGTACAGGCTACTTCGATGAATTGGAAGAAGATTTTTATTCAGCTATACGAGCAGCGTACTTTGGTCCTGATATAGATTCTGTTGAGCTTCTTCCTGATTGTTTTGAAGCTGAGGAAAGGTCTGTGTATGAGACAAGGGAAGTTTTACATTTGGTATCAGGACGGGATCTTTTCGGTATGGTTTGTTTGGTTGATAACTTTCTTGAGTTGTCTTCTGCTTGCTCCAAGAAATTGGCTTTGTCTTCGTTTATGAATTCGGACCTGAGCCAAGAAGTTGAGAAAGGAGACTATGACATGGTATCTGATGAAATGATTGGTCTTCGGACATCTCATATACTATCATCGAGAAATAAAAACCATGTTTCGGATGCATATAAAGATATTCAGCTGCATATATCTGGAAGAGTTGTTGCTACTGCTATTAGGGTTCCCCCAAAAGGGTATTACGAAAAGAAACAAAATGAGGGTGATAACGATCACATACACGTTTTCCTCAATTCAGATGAAGGATCAAGTCATGGCACTGAGTCGTCTCCGAGAAATGAAAGTGAAGCCAGAGTTCTTGTTGGAACTATAAGTGGTCTTGGGACAAGCCCAGATGAAGGTTCATGTTATTTCTATGATGGGAATGGTGCTAAGACTCATGTGATAATGAAACATAGGACATTTCTGGTTTGTGACTCGTATGATCTAGCTTTTTATTCACATCTCGCATATTACAACATGTACTTTTTTTCCGGGACATTGTTCTTTTATGCATATAGAGATTAGCCCTGTTAGTTATTGGATGGGATAAGCATGCATTTTTCTTAAAATTTGTTATTCACACTCTACAGGTGAGACATTTGCACTGGTACAGGATTGGGGAAAAGGTTTCTGTTTGCGAGTGTAGATGCAGTAGAGCAAAACTACCACCAAGCAAGTAAGCCAAATAGCTTATTTGCTTTTGTTTCTGTTCTGGCTCACAGTTAGCATTCTTACCTCATGAAACCATAATTGTGTGAATATGGAAACAGGTTTTGGTTGTTTGAGCCTCGTTGTGGCTTGCATGATGTTGGAGGTTGGTATATTGAAACTTTTGGTAAAGATAAAAAGGGCCGGACAGTACTCGGACAAAGATTCTGGGATGGATTGGAAGTGGGTGCAACAGATGGGTAAGGTTATGTATAGGAAAAAACGAAAGACTTAGGTATCACTTCCATGAAGACGTTTTTGCATCCTTGTGAAACTGTCAATTTGTTTTTCTAGTGAATCAAGTCTGCTTGCATTTCGCTTCCATGGCCTTATCTTAGTAAAATGGAGAAGGTTTCAAGTGTTTGAATTGTAAAGTAATCTGACTTCTTTTACCTTCTCCAGGAGACTGCACCCTGGTATTTACCTTCTTACACTAGCCTATCGAACTCTTGATCTTGAGGATGAAAGGAGAAGGAAACGGTCAATAGTGGAGATCTTTGAAGCAAGGCTATCTAAAGCGTTGGATTGGTGTAAGAAATTGGTTAGGAGAAGGTCCCTTGGAACTTAGCGTGGCACTAGTGAAGATCAAAAGATGATGATTTGATTTACAGTTTTCACATGGATACAAACCACTAAGGTTACGGCGAAACAAAAGCTTCTCCAAAGTTTGGTTGCGGACTCCATGGCAATCTTACACATGGAAGCATAGCGTTGAGGAGGGTTCTCTTCCCGTGCCAAAATACCAACCGAGCTAATCTCGTCACACCAAAGTTGCGGTGTTTTATTGATCATGGCCAGAATTGGATTTTCCAGAATGCTTATCTTCAATGGGTGGAAAGTGGCAAGAACTTGGTTTTGATAGAGAATTGTGTTTTAAAAGTGACTCAATAGACTTGTACAAAAATTTAAATCTAATGAAGCTAGTAGACTTGGTTGATTTCTTCTCCTTCTCCATGGTTCCCAACTCCTAAGCAGATTCAGTTCCGGTCAACAAAGATTTGGCCGGAGGGATCATAGCCACAGCGAATCGTTCGTCCTTGGAATACTTCTTTCGTAAAGCTCCCTTAGTAGTCTCACTCCCTTCTTCTTGCTGCTTCCATTGCTGATACGCCAAAAGCTTTGCACAGTCCCTGTTTCATTATTCCATACAGAACAATCAAAATCCAACCACAAATTGCAAAAAGATGAAGATGAAAACGGCAAGCCTTTTTTTACTTACATGAGCTGAGTCTCCGAATAGCCGGTGTGATGCTTGAGAGTGTTGGTCCAAATGGGAACTTGGCGAAGAGCAGATCTTGCTGCGTAGATTGCAGAGGCAGCAACCATAGATGGACTGAACATTATCGTCGTGTCGTAATGCATCACGCCTAACTCCACCAAATAGTGCACCATATTCTCCAACTGAAGACAGAAACAAAACCCAATTAAGCATTATAAAATGTAATGTAGAAACCAATGAAAGAAACTGAAAGATAAGCTTTCTTACTTGTTGATCAGCAATGGAAGCTTTGATGAACCGAGCGAGGAAGACATAATGAGTCGGAACTGTCAAATACCATTCGAGTGTAGACAGTATTGTCTTTTCCATCACCAGAATCTGCTTGTGAGTGTAGGCGTGGTCTGCAATGTCAACTAGATCCTCAACCTGCAAAAGAATGATGTTCTGATTTAGACACTAAGAATCAAAATCAAACACTAACAATCAAATTGTTCAAAAGTTCTTTGTTTTTATCACCTGTGGTGGCCAGATTTCTTCGTATTTAGATGACATGTGAAGCGCACTGAGACCAACAAGCTGCAGTTCTTTTCTAGGTACTGGCTTAAGCGACAAGAACCGGTCCAAAATGTTAATGGCGAGGTAAAACGTTTCTGGGTTTAGCTCAAATCGTACATGTACATCTATCAACCATTCAACCAGAATCAATCTCATCTTTTCATTAATCTCAGGCTGCGATCGCATGTAATCGCTTGGTCGCCATTCACTCTGCCAATCCAAATATCATTTATACAATTTTTCATAACACAATACTGCAAGGAAAGATTCATTAAATAGATATATACTAACCTCAACAGACTTGTAGAATTTGTAGATATCTTCAACATATTCCACAGCTGCAAGATCATTCTCAGCATCAGCTGAATCGATATCAACAATCACTTCTTTCGGTTTCTTCTCGATACCACACGCCGCCTGAAAAGAATCAAAATAGAATGATCATTCAGCACTAACCAAACATTTTTCTCACTTCACACCATTATGAATCATGGATTAAAGTTACCTTGCTTCTAGCGGTAAGAACAGATGTGTAAGAGGTTGCTACTTTCGTCTTAGTAACCTTCTTCTCCTTGACAGCAACTAAACCATGTTCTTCTTCATCACTGTCTGAACTAATCTCAATTATCTCAACAACTTTCGATTTCTCAGCTCTTTTCTTTGGCTTCGGTACAGCGATTCTCTTCACCTCCACAGGTTTATCCAATTTAACAATCTACAGATCAACACAACATACTAAAACATGAGCTATCTGAGATTCACATGGAAAAAAAGGAACAAGCTTTGAGATTTACCTCGACAAGTGGAACATGTTGAGACCGTGTACGAGGACGATTGATCTTTGCCGGTTCGTTCTTTGGGTAATTTCCTCGAACAACATTACCTATATCACCAAGAGCTTGACGGTTTCTTCCTTTCCCAACATTCTTGTCATCTTCCACAACAATAACATCACCTTCGACAGAAAACCAAAGTTTCCGATTTTAGATTTCAATCAGAAATTACAAAAATTGGATTCAACAACAAAGAAATTCAAGAACAGCGAGTAACAATCAACAAAAAACTAACAAAACCCAGAAGGAAAAAACTCAGATTTCTGATTAATTATATGACGAATTTTCAAAAATCGAAGATCATGGATGAATCACAAAAACCCAAATCGAATTACCCATAAACCCTAAAAAGAACAAAACAAAGATCTTCATACCCATGGCTTGTTGAGGAACAATCGATCGAGAAGTCATCATTTTTATTCGATTTCTCTCACACTAAACTCTTGAG